AAAGCTGCAATGGCTTGTTGTTGAGTACCTGTAAAGAAGATCAATAATATCGATAGATATCATTGTCAAGTTCTCTTACCTAACGATGAATCATCACTCTGTGCAATTGACAAACTTTCGACAAAAACATAGAGCAATTGAAGTGTATAGACATCGACTAGCACTTCCGATTCTCTACGAAAATTATAGTCAAATTTTTTTATCAGGACAAGCAATTGAGAATATTTTTCTACCGATAGAGCGTATAAATAGAATTCCATGCTAATGTCGATCCGAGTCTTTTGAAACTGTTTGGATGCATAGAGAAACTGATAATACGTTTCAAGATTGACGTCGCATTTTTTAAATACGATGATTGATCATAGCCACCAGCATGTTTAACAGTCCATTTGAGAAATTCTCTCAGACAAATACCACTGAAGTCTCGAATGGATGCGTTTCGTCCAGAAATCATTCCATCCTAGAATATCTGATTGAAATCAACATATTTTCCGAAGATGAGATTAAACCATGAAAGTGTCGAGCATGGACATTGTCTCTGGATTTTCGTAGTTTTGATTTTTCGTAAACCAATGGATCATTTGAATCATGAACGTAGTAAACAATGTTTTTGTAAACTAGAAAATATTCACGATGAAACATAATAAACATTTACGTCTCTTACAGTGTCGGAATCACATGAAAGCTCGAGTACAGCTGGAAACAAATGAGCATAGAGCTTTTCGTACGATGCCTATGTGTACATAAATAAGAAAATGAGAACTATTTTATGAAAGGAAACGAATACAAACAGCAGCATTGCTTCGATTATTCGCATTTTTGCCAATCATATAGAGCATGATGGATTGAAGTAATTCACAGGCTGTGATTTTGGTTTGTCGATCTGAACTGTGCAACGCCAGATCAACAATACGTGGAAGGAAAATATCTAAAGAGCAGACGTAGAATTCGATACAGAGAAGAAGAATTAAAATACCAAGATGAATTGTTGGTTTAATATCATCAAATGGAACATTGAAAGTCAAATGATTTTCGTTGTCCCATGCTACAGCTTCTTTGACTAAATAATTTGACGTGTCATCAATCAGATAATGACTGGTTCGATTGCCCAATGAACCAAGATATTTCAGTATGCGAAATTGAACTCGACGAATGTCACTGTCTTCGAATAGCTAAAAGTAGAACACTACGAGTTCGAAGTCGAATTTACGATTCGAATCATACGTGTTTGATCTGTTTGGCTTTTTTCAGCATCCTTGTTGGTAGAATCGTTCTACTTTTCGAGTTCAATCGTGTTTTTTCTTGTAAAGATGAGATGATTGCTCGAACATTAACATCATCACCTACGGATACAAAAAAAACCATGCACAAAGTAGTTGTCTTCGACACGATGAGTGTTGACATTACCTTGATCATGAGATAAACGTAGAAAATCATCGAGATGTGGTAAAATTTGATTATAAAAATTCGGTAGATTTAACGATGTTGACTGTGACCATCGTTCAAGACTATTGATCGTTTGTTCAGCTAATGGTAAATAAGTTAAACCGATATTCAATGCAAGCTAAAATATGGTCAGAATGAATACGTTGTTTTTCTCGGAGATTTCTCTCTCTTTTACTTGGATTGCTGGAACATAATCAGCAAAATCATAATCAATGCATTCGGAAGGCAAGGAAATGATGAATTGTAAGCATGAAATCAGAAGATCATCTCGATATTGTTTTTGCCGAGATAGAACTTCGTGTGCAAATCGTCGTGCCAATGTATTAACTGATGTTACTTGTTCATTTTCAATCATATCTGTTTCCATCATTTCGATTCCACCGCGAGTTGTCGGAATAGCTCGATCGGACTAGTCAAATAGTAAAATATTGATATCGAACAATAAGAAGAAATAAAGTACTTTGAAATAATTTAATTTTAAACATATATTCATCACTAAAGTGGCAAATCGATACAGACCGCTAACTAACGGATACCTATGTTAGAATAGATTTTAAAGGTGAACTGTCAATGTTAAATTTACTTGGTGGAAACGGTGATGATGTCATATAGAAATCGAAATATCCATTTTTGAAATAAATCAGGTGATTGTTCTGGTAGTAGATCTCTATAAAACAGAAGAAAACATTTGATGAAAGTATGCGATTGACATTTTTTACTGGCAAAAGTCGACGAGATTGTAGAATATTTCGAAATCTTTAGGTTTGACAGGTTTCATTCCAAAAATCGGATCAGTTGTTGTTGTTCCATCGTCATTTTCATTCTACAAATTCATTTATAACAAACAAAAGCACGGGAACTGATCTAGTCTTACTTCTGGTTTTTCTTTTTCAACACTCAGATCAAGTCGGTCGATAATATGTAAAATTGAATCAATCATTTCATCGTATAACGAAACGAGCATGTTTTGTCGATCAAATATTGGATACGCATTTGTATCGAATTCTTTCAATGAAGTTACATTCAAAACTGTCTTCCACAATGGAATATAGTTTTCATAGGTAATCGTTTTTCCAATAGCAATAAGAGATTTCGCTTTGTCACCAGGTAGGTCGGGTTCAACATCTTCTAATTGTTGTTCGACAGTAGATTTCAGCGGATGTGAACAACAACGAATGATCGCTTGGCTTACTGAAATTTAAAAAAGTAGTGGAGTAAAAACGTGTACTAGCGAGCGGATTTTACCAATTCGTGTTAGGAATGGCTTGTAGCACATTGGTTTCGTTTGTAAAGCTAAAATCATTTTAATTACAGATGTACATGTGGTTGCTTGTGGTTTTGGTTGATAACGTGGATAATAATCAATGGTCATTACAGTTAAACGTTCTAAAGGTCCAAGGAATTCTTCCCCAATCTAGAAAATAGTATGCTGAATTTGTTTTTGCTTAACCAAAGAATTCATCTTACGTTTGTCATTTCAATAATAATTGCTGAAAGTGCATCAAGTAAATTGGGTAAAGCGTAGAAACGTTCATCGAACACATCTGATGCTTGTGACAATGTGATTGTCGGCATGGCGATTTGTTCGCATCGTTGAATTAGACCAACAAACATGAATTTGATATCTTCATCAGTGCCATACAATTTACACGCCTTAAAAACATGAATGTCAATCGAATTAAACCATCTAATGCAAAAGTACTCGTCTTACATTTGCGAAAATGCCGTAACCACGAATACCCATGGCTAAATCTCGAATCTCCAGTTCAGGTGAATCAACTTTATCTCGAAACTCTTTGATGAAATATTGAAATGTTTGTACAGCACGGCGACGTTGTTCCGGCGTCTTCACATTCGTTTCTTTTAAAGCATTCGCTACCTGGTAATAAATGCAATCAAGTTAGAAACTATCCGCCTTCTCAACTTACTCCAAGTAAAAACGTATCATAAGCTCGTTGTGCAATTTTTTTTACGTCATAATTATCATGCGCATTCCATGCACGAAGGCAACGAAGTATATCAGGATAATCATCATAGAGATATTCAGTAAACAATGTCGAATGTTGAGCAAATAATTCCAATCCAGCTATGATCAAATTCGTGATTATATTGAGAGAAAATATGCTGTCTCAATTACCTTTAACTAATGCATATCGATTGAGATTGGTTTGATCTTGCGTTTGAATAGCTCGTGATGCGTAGATATAGACGCGTTTTAAATCAGATTCGCATCGAATCTGCTCTTCTTTAATCCGCTTATCATCGTCCTTACTTTTCGTTCGAGTCAACGAAGGTTGTTGAACTAATCAGACCCTACATTGAATTATATGACTAACTCATGACGATTAGTTTACCTGGAGTGGATGATGGCACAAAATTGTATAGATAATAGATAAGACCTTCCATAGCACCAGCAGCAATTAACATTTCGAATTTGACAGCATCTCGGACGAGCTAGAGTCGATTAGAATCAGTTCTATACAGTGATCGAGCTTCTTGGTACATACTTGTTCGTGTAAGTATTTCAAATACTGTCCCAATAACAGTGGATCAGAATATTTGCGCATGTGCTCAGGAAAGTATTTACATAATAATCCCAAAAAAGCCAATGAAAGTCCCTTGACTAAATGAAATATAGATTGATGGGTTATGTGTACGTGGAAATTACTTGTTGCTGTTGTTTTCGAACTTTGCAATCCAATCAGATCGAGGAAAGTCGTGGCCATTTTGTCGATTTCGTTTTCCATGTCGAGAAATCCAGCACTTAATTCGATCAACTAAATTCGATAGATTTTAATGAATCATCTCGTTTGTTCCTGGCGAATTTACTTGTGATAGAACAGGAAAAACTGCCGCACGTACATCAGACGCACCATCAACATTAAAAATTGTTAACAGAACTGATTTCAGCTCAACAGCATGTGAAAGAATCTTATTCGATGCAGTCTCGACAAAAAATTTCAGAAATTGAAGAATTTCGATCTTCGTTTTCTTCAACTAAACACCAAAGAAATCAAATGACTTCCCTCATAAAACGAGCATATCTACTTCAGGCTTTGAACAGGCGCGTCGAAGAAACGTTAGAATATTCTTTTGTCCACTGAACAATGCAGACGAACACATCGCTAAAATTCAAGTAAATACGCATTTAACAGAAAAATTCTTATTGATACCTGTTTGCATGGGTGATGGTTGTTCAGAATAAGCTTGAGCTAAGTCAGCTACAAGCGTCGCACACTGTTCGTCAATGTCGGGGATTTCCCGAAGTCGATCGAGATGATCATGCAATTCGGCGATATAATTATCGAAACTTGACGTTCCGGAATGATCCGTCATGTTTCAAACTGATTGAATGATCGAGGAAAAAATCCGCACCTAACAAAGGCCCTCTTTTGAACGAATAAGAAAATACATTACTGACATCTGACTGTGTGAACAGAAACTAGTAGAGGATATAACTAAGAAAAAAACTTTGAGTTTATATGAATAATGTCGAAGCGCGTTGAAATGGCTGAGATTTATTTCTAGACATCTCCAACATTGAGAAAAACGAAATGCCAAAAAAGACTCTTTTTCGCGTCGTTTATTCGTCAAGTTCGGATGAACAGCATCCAGCGAGTGAACTGAATCATCATGGGCCGTTAGTAAATGGTTGGCAAAGTGCACGTTTTTGTCAATATCCTCAAGAATTAGTTCTGCAGTTTGACAATTATGTTCGTCTTCGACGTGTTCAATTGCTCGCTCATCAGTATTTAATTGGTAAGAATTTTCGGTTGAAAAAAAAACATTAGTCAAACTTCTCATGATGTTTTAGCGTCAAAGATCGAGTTTTTCCTTGGAGATTGCACTTCAGATGATAGCATAACACTTGAAAATGCACGTTATACTCGTCTCGGGTAAGTGATTAATACCGTCTTATCAATGACATTCGTTCCAATGATCGGCTGTACTCTAGATATATAGAATTGTCTGGTAATGAACGAACAGATTTCAAAGCACGAGAACTCAAGTCAATACACGTCGATGCAGAAGGATTGTTCTTAAAATTGATTATACATAGAAATTATACCAATCGATTGAATTTATATAATCAAGTAAAGATTGACTTTGATCGATAGAAATCATTGATTTTAGCGCTGTTAGGTAAGCATTGTTGCAATTAATTTACTCGGTGACGATGTCGATAAGGTAAAAAGACTAACATTGCTCTTTGTTCGATATCTATTATGTAAATTTGGTATAGCTGAATGAGACGAGTGAAAGTCAACCAGATACAATACCAGCTCGGTAAGCATGCAAAGTGAAGAGAAGAGAAGATGTTCAGTTCCGTTTTGGTCAATACAATTTTAGTTCGGATCAAATCTCTATCATCGATGATCTAGCATTCGCTATGTACCAAGATCCTGAAATAGCTGCAATTATCAAAAATCTCGATCGGAAAAAGCGAGAGTGTGTTCATGGTATTACGATAAAACAAAAGCGTGATCTTTCTTTATATAATGATGCTTTACAATGCCTAGATGAAAGATTTGATCAAGCACGACGATTCAAACAAGCGATACAAGAACTAATAAAAGTTTGTTGAAATCCGTGACATCGATTCGATATAAATTGTACTTTAGGTTGGCGAACGTCTCGCTCGATACGAAGTTGAAAAACGTCAAGCTATTGAAGTAAATGTTATAAACAAGGAAACCATACAAATAACGGTTGTTGTTTGTCTTTTAGAGTGAAGATTATGACGTAGCACAAATTAAGAAAGATAAAATGGAACTTTATCGGACGGAAACTTATAGACAGTTGCAAGTACTTAATCTTCTCGATATCGTTATTGTAAGTAGCATGATGCGACTTATTCGATAAAGTGATATTTCATCATTTTATAGGAAAATGGAAAAGGAACGGATTTCTTGAAACGATTACAAGACATCATAGATAATGAACAAGACCAGAATAATTTCTATCATGAGGTAGTTCATTTATATGTGTCATTGGACGTTTGTATATATATTTTTACTTGTCGATTTTCAACTTTAGCCATCTCGTGCAACCAAACGACAAAACTACGGTATATCATTCATTCATCTATCGAAACTTTTCCTTCACACTATTTTTTTTCACTTAGGACGATCTCACCATACTGTGCAAAATCGACGTTCACCGGAATCGAATGTTTCTTATGGCGCGCCACCAACCGTACCTGACTCCACAGCATCTCCACAACCGATTCAAACAAATATGACGCGTCGAACTGGTTACGTATCGCCAGATTATCCTAAACCACGCACTCCTTATGAAGATAAAGTTATTCCAACATTAAGAAATCGCAATCGTACCGACGGTGGACATACGCAAGGTTCAGTAGTGGCAAATACAGATGCGACAGGACTGACGAATGAAGAAACCGAAAGTTTCTACGGTGGAACGAATCCCGCACCAAATGATGATGCTACAGCGGAACTGAATCAAGCGGAAATGATTGAAGCAAATCAAATGATGATTGTATTCGACAAACAATTGGTAAGAATATGGATTCTACCTTTCGATGAATGTATGCTGCATTTTTAGATCGGTAAACTCTATCATCGAAATCATGCACAACGTGAGGAAGCTCTAGATGAAATCTATCAAATCTTGAAATCATTCTCCGGCGATCAAGAAGACGCTCGTGCCTATTTACGTGCTGGTAGTTTCGTTGTAGCACGAATGTTTCGTTTTGATGTACTAGCAACATTCTCTCATTCCTTAAAACTTTTTCATTTACTAATGAACGATTACGTACGCAAACATTCCATACAAAAACAAGATATTATCACTAGTTTAGAACGTGTTCTGCCTGTTTTATTGCAACGTACAGGCGATTCCAATGCTCGATTAAGGCAACGCGCTCAAGAAGCGATCATCGAATCAGCATCCTATCCGGAATTGAAGCCACTACATGTTATACCGAACCATTGTGTTACGCCATTTAATAAAACATGCGCACCACGATTAGCAATAAGTCGATGTGAACTTATCGAAGAATTGATGAAAATACTTGATGTGAAAACGGGTGAAAATGGTCTAAATGTCGATAATGTTAGCAAATTTTGTGCACAAGCACTTGAACACAATGGTAACGAGATTTTATCTTGGGAATTTGTACCTGTTCTCATATACGTCTTTCTTTTTATAGCCGGTGAAGTACGAGAATTAGCAATCAAAATTTTACTAAATTTATACAAGGTATAACTGAATAAATCTTTTGTAGCATAGCTGACTTGTCGAAAAAATTGATATGTCTAGAATCAAGGATCGATTGTCAAACGTTACCTTCCACCGGACAATGATCAAACGCGCCGAGTTAAGAAATATCGTGATATTTTCGAAGCATTCGATCGAATGGATGGCGTAAGAGTGTCCTATTTTGACTGAAGAGTAATTAACTGATGTTCTACTTTTTTCAGATAACAAATAATGACCAATTGGAAACCGAAAGAAAATCTGTCGGAGCGTCTGAAACAGGAAAACGTGATAGTCAAAAGCAACAGCACACTGCTCGAGAACAGAATAAATCCGTACAAGAGATTCTTCTGATGTTAAATAAAAGTCACTATTTTCTTTCTTGTTTTAGTTCGATGCGAAATCGACTCGAAGTAAATCTCGAACGCCTACACGTTTCGATCGGAAAACGCCGACAACAAGTGTGGCTGATGAATCTGAATTTACTCCAGAAAAGTATGTCAAAAAGATTTTCCTCAACATGCCGAATTTTACTGCGCCGTTTGTTATATCTTAGTACGTGTATATTTTGTGGCGAGAAAAATGAAGATTTTATACGCGATGGTCTCGAACAACACTATTGGTCTGCCTGTCCAATGCTACGGCGATGTCAAGAATGCAATCAGGTTCGTCCGTTCGTTCTCCTGGTGTTTGTTTTCATTTTGCAATTAATCGTGTTTATTCCAGGTAGTAGAAGTCGCTATTTATGTCGAACATTTGTTGCGCGAATGTGAAAACAAAGGCAAATATCAACAATGTCCTCGTTGTTCCGAAGCGATTGGCAACGATTTCGATATTCATATCAAACTCAAAGAATGCCATGAAACGAAGCCAAATACAAGTCGGTGTCCGTTATGTCATATGAACATTCCTGAAGGTGATGAAGCATGGCGTAATCATTTAATGGGCGCTGATGGTTGTGTCAAAAATGCACGACGAGTTTCTGAACTAAAACAAAGTAATGTGTGAAGATTTTGAATGAACTTCTGAATGTTCGTGTTTTGAATAGGTGGACATGCGTCTCAACAGAAATCAGTCGTTGTTCCCACAACTCAAGTCAATGCAATGAAGAAAAGCACGACAACCACCGGACAGAAAAAGATGTCAACGACTGTGAAATAAAAACATGGAAAGAATTCAATCCTTTACGAACAATTTCTACTCGCATTTGATTTTTCTTTTTCTTGTATATGTTCTTTTATACCAAATGACATCTATTTTGTTTTGTTTTTTGACATTGTCATCCACCTTGATTGTTGTTCGGTAATTTTCGTTTCACTATGTTTTCTGATCATCAACATTTCTCAATCTGAATAACTAATAACGAATCTTCTTCTTTCTCCTCTTCTTCTTGTGTGATTGTTTTGATTTGCAACATCACTGACTGTTGTTATCATTTGACTTTTTTCTCATGTACATATCTATATCTCGAAATAATATGTACATTCTAGCCTGGGTGTCTCTGTAGTAATCACGCGCAAAATGGATATATGGACAATGTAGAGTTCGTTTTATTTTATAAACCAAACAAAGTCAAAATCTCTCCTAACGCACTTCTCGATTGTGCCTGCTTTTGTACACAGCCATACTTGACATGTATGTTTCACATACATTCTAGTTAAGTTTTCTTTTTTAGTATGGTAAGTATCCTCTTCTCATAAGAAGATATAGTATGATCAAACTTAATCGAGAGATTAGTGGGTGGTCCAAGATAAATGGATCGCTCAGATTTTTCATTTTGCACTCAATTGGGCTAATTTTTTTTCAGAAGATTCCCTGTAGGTGGAAATGCAAAAACAAACTAAATAATTTCATAGTACATCTTTTGAAAAACAATTAGCTCAGTTGAATGCAAAATGAATAATTTATTGTGAAAACATTGAGAGGACCATCTATTCTGGATCATTCGTTCTTATCCAAGCAAAATAATATCAGGCACAATGTTCGTAGAAACGGCAAGGTAATCTTCCGTTCATAAATATGTGCGTTCTTTCGCGTCTATACATCCAATTAATTGATGATTTCATGTTTCAAAATGCATCTTTTAGGGTACTTGCGTTTTCAAGCGAATGAAGAAAATAATTATTCTATTAATTATCAAAAATTGAGAACATGTGGCACACGATGCACACCCGCATCAAAGATTCAAACACAAAGACGATCCTTATATCATATAATAATCTTTGAGATTTTCATTAGAGTGCAGCCTAATCCTTTCATGTGTCAGCAAAATGATATGAAAGTTCTTTCATACCGGAAATATGACGATAAATTTGCTCTCGGATGCTAATAACTTAATATAATCACTCATAGAGCAGATTTGGCGCCTACATTCACTTTCGACGAATAAGAATCCGTTTTAACACTCTATTTAGGATTGCTTTTTCTCATAAAGGTGAATGATCATCGAAATCGTCTTTTCTTCTTCTTCGTTTTGATGGAGGCATCAAAGATTTGAGTCCCGGATTAAGCGTTCGTGAAAGATTTTCTAATTAATTATCTAGATTCCCATTTAAAACTTCGTTTCGAGGTCACAGAAAGATTATCTTAGCTCTAGTTCATATTGCTATCATGTGTCACGGTTTTCATTGCGTTAGAAATAAACACGGAAAAAATATCTGAGATAACTTTCTTTACTCGTCAAGAATTCAAATTATAATCTTAACAGATTCCAAAAATTTATTTAACGAAATAAACAACGACTAGAAGAAGAGTGACACGAGTTTTCAATCACAGTTTAATAATAACAGATGTGTTCGATAAGGCTTCGTTGGCAAACGTTATTGGCGAAGAAACAATTGTTGTTACACCGTTATATCCGCTACTATTTTCGTCATAAACAATAACTGAATCATTCGATATGATGTTCAATTGATCTTCATCAATCGAGGATGGTAAATCGTGAACTAGGCAAGTTCTCAATCGTTCTTTTCGATTGTAATCATTCTTGTACGGAACGAATTGTAAGCGAAAACATGTGGTCGGCTTGCGTAACTTCCAGGAAAAGCGTAACTTTGTGTGGACGATATAGAAAAAGATGGAGTGTATATGAGTGGAAAATTGATGTTGAAAGAGATAAATGAATAGAATGCTCATACGTAATGGAATAGAAAAATAGGTTAAAAGAAAAAGAGATTTGAAGAAGATCTTCGTTGGTAGCCATTTGAATGGTGTTTGGCAAAAACAAAGAATAATTGTTAGTGAAAACATGTAGAAAAGGTGAGTTAGAGTTAATAATATATGTGAATATGTAATTAAGCAAAGAAATGATTTCAACTGGATGATTAACACCGATTGCTTATGAGATTCAGCTGATTTTCGTCTTCCCAAGGAACGAGACTTTTCGTACAATTGTTCATGATGATTCGTATCCGTATTTGGCATCTTGTATGTGTGAACAATGATTAAATAATACGATAATAAAATGAAATAAATCAGTGAATGGACTAGCGAGAGAAAATTCGATAGATAGAAATTCTTCTGTCCGTATGTACAACGATTGATTCGATAAGAACTATGTTTTTTCTTCTCGCTATTCGATATTCGTTGTCTTCTAGTTCTCTTCGTTCGATTATTGATTGGATTAAACAAATCATATGGAAATTTAATTATAATTTCATTACCAGAAACATCTTTGTGATTGTGAAAGAGTTCATCATTCGAATGATTGTGGGAATTCGATATCATTGCTGTTCGTTCGTCACCTCGAGAGTATCGATCGAGATCAACCATGAAACGATCGTGAGAACGAAGTTCCACATTGGATGTGTCATAGAATGATAAGCGTATTTCTTGAATGTTAATTTCGTATTTCGTTTCGTTCAATGTGATTAAGTGGAGTTTCTCTACTTTTAAGTGCGTTATCCAGTTATTATCATAGACAATGAAGAGAAGACAAACAAATGTCAGGGCACGAAAGTTGATTCGATTGGTGTTCGGGAGAAGGTTATGGGTGAGAAAATATCGAATATGATAACGACTCAAAGCAAACAGAAATATCAATGTTAAGCATTGACCCGATTCAGCTGAAGATTTCAAGTAGTATGGCCAACGGCAAAGCTGATTATAGAATTGTTCGGTTGAGTTGTATTTCAATGCGACTAAAGATAATAATTGGAGTAGATCGTAGAAAGTTACTGCATACAGGAATGAGTTGAGATAGGATAGATAAGCGTTCGTCCATCGAGAGAGTAAAATCATGATTATTCCAATGGCGAAAAGCCCAGTCGTGATGATTAAAATATGAAGCATACGAAGCGAGATCGTATGGAGGAAAAGTTCTTCGATATCATCGAAAAAGAGTTTATAAGTTGGTAATAAAATTTTATCGGATTGGTTATGAGACATGGCAATGATTTTGAGTGTGTATGTTCAAATTCTTCTTTCTTCGTCTAATGCCAACTGCGACCTTTATGCACGAGAATGCTAAAACGGAGTCGACATCACTTGGCATTGACAATAATTTATTTAATGATAAATAAAATCTGCACTAAACGACGCTTTATTATCATGAATCTAAAAACGTAAAATTGTCCGTAAATAATAAGGGAGTTTATGCATGACTTCTATGTGTTCTCTTCCAAGAGAGGAGAGAAACGATGTTATCGAGGACTAGAAGAAAGAAGGAACGAGAAAAAGACATTTCTTGTCAGATTGAATCATTATCTCATTTACGAATCTTATATTCTCAGGATATCAACGAAGATTGATTATTTCAAGATCTCTATTGTCTTCACAAATAATGATGTCGATTTTTCATCAAAACCGTTCTACTTCAGACATACGTGTGACAGTAGAATGACATGGTCAACAAATGCTATCACTGATTAAAGCTAGACTAACGCAGATACGTCTGATAAAGAGAAAAACACGCGTTAGACATAGAATACGCTTCATATATCAAATGAAAGGATTTGTTGAGTCTTAGACTTCGTTTGTAATATGAAGAGATTTTGGTGTTTGTCTAGGGGTTTAAAAAAAAGAAACTATTATTCAAAAAACAATAGGATTAACGTTTCTCGTGACGTCAACATACAAACAAAAATTACTAACACATATATATTTATAAATAAACCTCGCTTGCATGCTGCGCATATTGCTAGAGAAATTTGCTCAGTTCTGCATGAAAGGAGTTGAATAGACACACGCGTAGTCCATGTTAGCTCTTTCAGTTAGAAAACACCCTCAGGACCAATATGCCTCCGCGAAAGAATGATTAATACAAACAAAATGTTCTGTATGAAATAACACTTCAATATTCTATGTAGATTTGTTTTTGAAAGTACACACATGGAGAGTTATGTGACCTTTTCTATCCATCGAAGGGATAGCTCTCTAGACTTCAACAGTAGGCATACCCAATGTGCTACTACATGAGCATTTTTTATTCGAAAAGTTCAATAAAGAACGCTGTAAATGTCATGGGGAAAACCAGTTCCTCCAAAACGAGTTTCATATCTATGAAAAACAATCAGACTGACCGAGTTTTATAAACGTTGCGATGTACTGAGCGACGAGAATCTGCTCTACGGTATATCTGATCTATTATTCAACAAGATTTCGGTCTTCTAATTTATTACTGTTGATCATCTATGTAACCGGAAATAAAAGTTAATAAGAAAAAGTTAATCATTTCTTATCTCGACTATGATTCAAAAAGAGATCAGTAGATTTTATATAAGCTTTAATTTCTTTACCTAGCTCGACGAAAATAGGCAAGACTATATGATCTCCATTGGTACTTTCAAATCGGGAACAACAAACACATGAGATAAAACAATCAGTCGGTGGATCTAAGTGTGTTCTATTCTAGACAAATAGATGGATTTGCACGCAGAATTCTACTTCGATGGCAAAGAATAGCTCGGAGGTATAAAATGGGGGCGATTATGAGAATATGCAAGATTACATTCGTCGGAAACTTTCACTGACAATACGCATAATCCATCGATATCTTCCTCTTTGAACGCATGACGAAATTCTAAGAATATTTAGTTTCGAACGCATTAAACTAACATTTTATACTTGCTCATGTGATTGACAAGTCACGCAGTAATTCAAAGGGCAATGTGTACTAGAAGATCCTATAACGATCATTGCGAAGGCGAAGGAAGTGCCATTAC